ACGCCTGTCATCCCAGCACTTTGGGAGGCCGAGGCAGGCGGATCACAAGGTCAGGAGTTCGAGACCAGCCCGGCCAACATGGTGAAACCCTGTCTCTACTAAAAATACAAAAAAATTAGCCAGGTGTGGTGGCGCACGCCTGTTGTCCCAGGTACTTGGGAGAGTGAGGCATAAGAATTGCTTGAACCCAGGAGGCGGAGGTTGCAGTGAGCTAAGATGGTGTTACTGCACTCCAGACTGGGTGACAGAGCAAGATTTAATCTCAGAATAATCAGTTAATTATTTTTAAACAAATAAAATACAAATACAAAACTTAACCAGGTCTGCTATGCTGGTGGGTATCTGTAATCCCAGCTCCTCAGGAGGCTGAGGCAGGAGAAGCACTTGAACCTGGGAGCAGGAGGTTGCAGTGAGCCGAGATCACGCCACTGCACTCCAGCCTGGGCGACAGAGCGAGCCTCTATCAAGAACAAAAACAAACAAACAAAAAAACACCTTGTCCTCCAAGAGGTCATTCTTTTTTTTTCTTTTTTTTTTTTTTTTTTTTTTTTGAGACGGAGTTTCGCTCTTGTTACCCAGGCTGGAGTGCAATGGCGCGATCTCGGCTCACCGCAACCTCCGCCTCCTGGGTTCAGGCAATTCTCCTGCCTCAGCCTCCTGAGTAGCTGGGATTACAGGCACGCGCCACCATGCCCGGCTAGTTTTTTTGTATTTTTAGTAGAGACGGGGTTTTACCATGTTGACCAGGATGGTCTCGATCTCTTCGACCTCGTGATCCACCCGCCTCGGCCTCCCAAAGTGCTGGGATTACAGGCTTGAACCACCGCGCCCGGCCAAGAGGTCATTCTTCATTCTCTCAGTGTCCAAAATAAAAACGCTCCGCACCAGACCTAGGCAGACTTCACACTTCAGCTGCACCAAAATCTGCTCCAAGATCCCTTCCTGCCTGAATTCCAGCTTCTCCAGAGCCAGGGTCCAGGGCCAGCCACACCTATGAGGCCACCGCCACCTGCTCACCTCCAAGAGCCCTGACCAGGTGGCCCAGAACATCCCCATGGAGCCCACCCTACAGTCTCTCAGTCCCAGTAACGCCTGTGACTCCAGTAATTCAGAGGCTCTGAGAAAGGAAAATGTCGCCTTTCTTTACACACATCCCTGCATACTGTGTATCCAAAACTCAAGGACTTGAAGAAGCCACTTGCTTTCTGGAAAACCACACCCTGACACTCTCGTGCACACTGAGCCCCCACGCTGGGATCAAGTCTCCCCAGCCACTGTGGAAATGGTACTTGGATCCACATCTTAGCCAAATTATTAAAATTCAGCAGCCAAGGACAGGATCATAGTCCTCATTCTTCCATCTTCCCCCCCAAATTAATACATTATTTAGTATTTCAATGAAATAAGCCACACTTTAAACCTACATTACTTATATACTCTTCCAAACTTTGAAAATTTTTAATAGAAATTAAAAATGTAGGGCCGGGCGCGGTGGCTCAAGCCTGTAATCCCAGCACTTTGGGAGGCCGAGGCGGGTGGATCACGAGGTCGAGAGATCAAGACCATCCTGGTCAACATGGTGAAACCCCGTCTCTACTAAAAGTGCAAAAAATTAGCTGGGCATGGTGGCACGTGCCTGTAATCCCAGCTACTCAGGAGGCTGAGGCAGGAGAATTGCCTGAGCCCAGGAGGCGGAGGTTGCGGTGAGCCGAGGTCGCGCCATTGCACTCCAGCCTGGGTAACAAGGGCGAAACTCCGTCTCAAAAAAAAAAAAAAAAAAAAAAAAAAAGAAATTAAAAATGTAAATTAAATTTGAAGTTGAAATTGGAATAAAATCATTATGGTTCAAATAAGAGACCAACCGTGGGTTGTTATATTATTTTCTAACATACAGGGATGCTGAATTCAGTAGGCAAATCTGAAATAAGCATTAAGAATATTTCGGCCCTGCTGGGTGCAGTGGCTCACACCTATAATCCCAATATTTCAGGAAGCCGAGGCAGGAGGATCATGAGGTCAGGAAATCGAGACCACCCTGGCCAACACAGTGAAACCTTGTATCTACTAAAAATACAAAAATTAGCTGGGCGTGGTGGTGTGTGCCTGTAATACCAGCTACTTGGGAGGCTGCGGCAGGAGAATCAGTTGAATCCGACAAGCAAGTGTTGCAGTGAGCTGAGATCACGCCATTGCACTCCAGCCTGGGCGACAGAGCAAGACTCCATCCCAAAAAAGAAAACAAAAACAGAACAAAACAAAAAGAATTATTTCAGCCTTTACACAATTACTCTAAGTTACAAGTGCTTCTAGACTTATATATTTAATTTGATTTTTAAGCTTAAAAAGAACTTGTATCATCAACCTGAAAACCTGAGCTTAAATTCAGAAAAAAAAATTTTAGGGCCAGGCACAGTAGCTCACACCTGTAATCCCAGCACTTTGGGAGGCTGAGGCGAGCGGATCACCTGAGGTCAGGAGTTCAAGAGCAGCCTGACCAACATGGTGAAACCCATCTCTACTAAACATACAAAAATTAGCCAGGTATGGTGGTGTGGTACACACCTGTAATCCCAAGTACTCAGGAGGCTGAGGCAGGAGAATCACTTGAACCTGGGAGGCAGAGGATGCAGCGGGCTGAGATCATGCCACTGCACTCCAGCCTGGGCAACAAGAACAAAAAACTGTGTCTCAAAAAAAAAAAAAAAGATTTTAAAACAATTTTTCTGAATTTCACGGGTACCAATTCTTTACAATTTATTACATTAACCTGCGTTACTGCCCTATGCCAAAACCTTGGAAACGATGCCCTACAAAAAAAAGGAGGTACTAAAATATCTCTAGGATAGTAATTTAATTCACACTGTACAAGTGCTGAAATCCGTTCTGTAAAAAAGGCCATTAATGCCCCTGTGTACACAGTACAGGCAGAGGTTCAGGATTCATGTTAGTCTCAGTGGCCACAAAACTCTTCCCTGAGCACAAGTGAGAGGCCCAGCCTTCATCTCACTGCCCTTCTTACTCAGCTCTACTGCAAGGCTCATTCTTACCCTTCGAAAGGTCTGAATTTGGCCGGGCATGGTAGCTCATGCCTGTAATCCCAGCACTTTGGGAGGCCAAAGCAGGTGGATCATGAGGTCAGGAGATCAAGACCATTCTGGCCAACAAGGTGAAACCCCCGTCTCTACTTGGCGTGCAACTGTAATCCCAGCTACTAGGGAGGCTGAGGCTCAAGAATCACTTGAATACAGGAGGAGACTGCAGTGAGCCGAGATCCCACCATGGTACTCCAGCCTGGCGATGAAGGGAGACTCCGTCTCAAAAAAAAAAAAAAAAAAAAGGTCTGAATTCTAGTCCCTCACTGAAAGGTCAATTTATCTCCATGTTTCTCATGTTGGCATCTGTAGAAGTCAATTCACCACAAATGGTTCTGGCTGAATGGTGAGAATTTTCTTTAAAAACTCAAAATCGTGGCCAGGCATGGCGGCTCACACCTGTAATCCCAGCACTGCGGGAGGAGTGGTGCTCACACCTGTAATCCCATCCTGGAATGCAGTGGTTCAATCAGTTCACAGCAACCTCAAACTCCTGGGCACTGGAGCCAGAGGATCACTGCCCAGGCGTTTGAGGCTGTGGTGAGCTATGACTGCACCAGTGCACTCTAGGCTGGGTAAGAGACCCCGTCTCAAAAACAAAAACAAAAACAAACAAAAACTCAAGATCCTCACAACAGATGTGTAACTTCATTTGTTGTGACCCAACAAAGTATTCTGCAAAAAACAGTCAGATTATAGGACAGCCATTAGACCACTACCATTGACTTTACATAGTGTACAGTATAAACACACAAAAACAGCATTTTGATTTGAAAATAATACACTTGGTCAGCTGGCTCACGCCTGTAATCCCAGCATTTTGGGAGGCCGAGGCAGGTGGATCACAGGGTCAAGAGTTTGATACCAGCCTAGCCAACATGGTGAAACACCGTCTCAGCCGAGCGTGGTGATGCGCACCCGTAATCCCGGCTACTCTGGAGGTTGAGGCAGGAGAACCGTCTGAACCCAGGAGGCGGAGGCTGTGGCTAGTGACACCACTGCACTCCAGCATGGACGACAGAGAAAGACTCCGAAGGAAAAGAACATTCTTTAAAATGCTGCTACCGAAGTTTAAGGAATGTGCCGGTACGCCTTTCCATACTGAGAGACGGCACAGCACGTGCACACACCACGCACGCAACTCAGGAAGAAAACCAACAACTCTTACCAGCATCTCCAACAACCGAAAGCAGCTAAAAATTCCAGTTTGTGGACAAAGGCTGTACTTGCAAGGAGCTAGAAGCGAGCCCCTGAGGAATAATCAGCATTTCCTAGAGAGCAAGTTTGTGTTTCAAGCAGAGTCAATGATACTTCATCGAACCACAAGACCACGCTAAATGGTTCTGCAGCAGGACTGACAGTTCCCTAGGAGGCTGACTTCACACTCTACATGACCTTATAATACTTCCTAACCCACCGTCTTTCTTGTAAAAGTCATGTGAAAAGGATCCAGTTTTCCCTGAATTTTAAGGTTCAGAACACAGACTGAAAATCCATCGTGCCTGAAGAGTTTTCCATTTTAGGCCACAGAAAACGCGGCGGGGAGAGAGAAATCCTCGCGGCTCCTGAGACAGCTCACTCCTGAGAACGAGTAACGGCGACACCCGCAACAAGGGACAACCCCGGCCCGGGGCCGCTCCTCCCGCCGCACGCGGGTTCGCATTCCCGCCGGGCGCGGCCTCGCCGCAGGTGCGGAGGAGGAGGGAACCCAGAAACCCCGGCCCGCGCGCACGGCCGCCCGGCCCCGGCTCCGGGAAGGGAAGGCCGGGGGGCCGCACCTGCGCCGTGGCCGGCGGGCGGGGTCGGGGTCGGGGTCGGGGTCGGGGTCGGGGTCCGCCCGGCCGAGGGTGACGGCGAGCCCGGGCGCGGGTCCCGCCCCGCCCCGCGCGCCCCGCCCGAGCCACTCACACGCGCGGCAGCTGCAGCGGCGGCGCCCCGCGCCTCTGGAACACGCCGTCCACGAACACGCCGTTCTTGCCCAGGCAGCGCAGGTAGAAGTCGCCGCCGGCGTCGGGCCTGGGCTGCGCGGGCGGCGGCTCCGGAGCGGCCCCGCCATGGCCGCCGCCGCCGCCGCCCGGGGGCGTGAAGATCTCGAGGTGGCGCCGGGAGATGAAGCTCGAGTGGCCCATGCTCACGTCCACCGAGCCCTGCGACGAGTTGCGGCCGATGGTCACCGAGCGCTTCTTCATCAGATACTCGAACTCGCGGCCCTCCAGGCGCGCCACGGCCCAGCCGCCCGGCGGGGACCCGCCGCCCCCGGGCCCGCCGCCCGCGGGTGGCGTGCCCGCGCCCGAGAGCGCCGCCGCGGCCGCCGCCATGGGCCTGCGTGAGGGCCCCCGGGCCGCTCCGCGCGGGCGCCGGTGGCGCGGGCCGAGGCCCAGGCCGCGCGGGTCGTGGGCCGCCGCGCACCGGAGCCGAGGGAGGGGGCGAGCCGAGGCCGCCGGCCAGCGAGCGAGCGAGCGGCGGCGAGGGGCGGGAGCACGCGCGGCCGCGCCACCGAGCCGGCGCGCCGGGCCCGCCCCGCGCTGACGGACGGCCGGGCCGGCCAATGGGGGCGGCGCACGGCAGTGGGGCTACCGAGGCGGGCCAATGGCCGGGCGCGTCGCGCCGAGCGCCCCGCACGTCCGGCGGCGACGCCCCGACGCAGTCCCGGCTCCGGCGCCGCGGAAAACCCGGAGCGGACGGCCGGGAGCCCGCGCGGGATCGGGGCTGGCGCGGGGGGCGGCGCGGGCGCGGGCGCGGGGCCCGGGGTTCTCGGACGCGGCGGGCGGGACCCGGCCCAAGGTCACAGCGGGCGCCGGGCACGCGGCGGCCCCGGACCCGGCGTGGACCCCGGGATGCGGACAGGCGGCGGCCCGCGCGCCCAGGCCCGGCCTCCGAGCGGCCTTTTCCCCGCGGAGTGCGGAGCCGGGGCGGGGGGCGGCGGGCCGCGGGGCCGGCGACGGGCTCGTCTCGAACCCGCAGCTCCGAGGCCCGGTGCGGCTGTGCCCCCCGGCCAGCCGGTCGCGTCACCGTGTCGCGCTGTCCCGCAGGGCGCCCAGAAGTTGTGAATCACTTTCACTCGACTGTCGTCGGCGCCGGGTTTAAAAACGCAGTCGGGCCGGCGCGGGGGCCAAGCCCGCGACCCCTTCGCCGTGGGCGGCCCGGGCGGGGCGGCGTCACCTGCGCGCGGCACTTCGGGGCCAGGCCGGCCCGCCCGGCGAAACCCCATCCCCACTCGACACGCGGAAACGAAACAGTCAGCCGGGCCCGGCGGAGCTGCGCCCCGAGTCCCAGCTGCTCGGGAGGCCGAGGCAGGAGAAGCGCTTGAACCCGGGGACGGAGGGCGCAGGGAGCCGAGATCCCGCCATGGCGCTGCGGCCTGGGCTGCAAAGGTGGAACTGCCCCAAAGCAAAACGAGACATACGTGTGTCTGCACACACGTGGACGCACACGGAACTCTCATGAACGAAGAGTCAGTACCTTAACCAGCTGGGTACTGACAGGTTTTAAAAAAACAGAATTTTGCCACTGTTTAAAAAATTGTAAGGTCCCATCTAAAACGAGATGATCAATAGTCTAGATGTTTACGAATCAATGAAACTCCTGCCATTAAAAAGAAAAAATCCTGCAAATGTATCTCACGGCTATTTAACCAGTTGTGGAGATGTTCAGGGTTCAGGATTATGAAACGTCTGCAATCTCTGAAACAGGAGAATTCCGTGGGAAGTCAGCATCAGCCCTAGAAAGCATGGCTTAGGCAACAATCGCATCCTCACAAAACTGAAATAGCAACAAATCACACCAATTTAAGTCTCTGCTGGGGAGGGACTGAATTGTCACACTTCTTCCAACATGGTGGCTCCTGCAGGGTGGGTGACAAGAAGAATCTGGTTATAGCAAACATCCCAGAGTTCCTCTGTTTGCTGCTTGTTAAATAGCAAAGAACAATTAGAAGAGCGAACTGATATAATTTAGGTACAGAGGCCAGGTGCTGTGGCTCATGCCTGTAATCCCAACACTTTGGGAGGCCGAGGTGGGTGGATCACTTGAGGTTTGAAGTTAGAGGCCAGCCTGGCCAACATGGCGAATCCCCATCTCTCCATGTCTACTAAAAATACAAATAGTAGCCAGGCGTGGTGGGGGGGCACCTGTAATCCCAGCTACTTGGGAGGCTGAGGCAGGAGAATTCCTTGAATGCAGGAGGCAGAGGTTTCGGTGAGCTGAGATTGCACCACTGCATTCCAGCCTGGGTGACAAAGACAGACTCTGTCTCAAAAATAATAATAATTTTGGTACAGAAAGAGTTTAGTGTGACTAGAAAGAGGAGACTGGACTTAAACAGAGCAGAATAAAGTGGACATCCGGAATAGGAACGGTTGAATGGAGGCCCCAGGCAGGAGACACTGGGGTCAGTTCACACATTTTTTGTTCGTTCAATGTGTAAAACCTTTTTCGTTTCTTTTCTTTCTTTTTTCAAGACAGAGTTTTGCTCTTGTTACCCAGGCTGGAGTGCAATGGTGTAATCTCGGCTCACAGTGCAACGTCCACCTCCCAAATTCAAGAGATTCTCCTGCCTCAGCCTCCCAAGTAGCTGGGATTACAGCCATTCACCATCATGCCCGGCTAATTTTGTATTTTTAGTAGAGACAGAGTTTCATCATGTTTGCCAGGCTGGTCTCAAACTTCTGACCTCAGTTGGTCCTCCTGCCTCTGCCTCCCAAAGTGCTGGGATTACAGATGTAAGGCACTGTGCCCGGCCTGCATTTACATGTCTTAACTGCCATATTTGTGTTTGTAATTACAGTACAAATTCCTTCGGGTTAAAACTGCTTTGACAGGATGTCCTAAGAAAAAAAATTGTTTCATTAAATATTCACTTACATATTAGAGGGACTTTTTTTCTTTTCTTTTCTTTTTTTTTTTTTTTTGAGACAGAGTCTCACTCAGCCCAGGCTGGACTGGAGTGGCCCAATCTCTTCTCACTGTAAACTCTGCCTCCCAAGTTCAAGGAATTCTCCTGCCTCAGCCTCCCAAGTAGCTGGCATTACAGGCCTGTACCACCATGCCCGGCTAATTTTTGTGTTTTTAGTAGAGATGGGGTTTCATCGTGTTGACCAGGCTGGTCTCAAACTCCTGACCTCAAGTGATCTACCCGCCTCAGCCTCCCAAAGTGCCTGGATTACAGGTGTGAGCTACCATGCCCAGCCATATTAGAGGGATTTTAGGGGGCATTGAGATAACTATGGAAATGACAAATGGGAAGTGTATCATTAAAAAAAAACACAAGCCAGGTGCAGTGGCTCACACCTGTAATCCCAGCACTTTGGGAGGCTGAGGCAGGTGGATAACTTGAGATCAGGAGTTCACGACCAGACTGGCCAACATGGTGAAACCCTGTCTCTACTAAAAATACAAAAATTAGCTGGGCATGGTGGTGTGCACCTGTAGTCCCAGCTACTCAGGAGGCTGAGGCAGGAGAATTGCTTGAACCTGGGAGGCAGAGGTTGCAGTGAGCTAAGATCGCATCACTGCACTCCAGCTTGGGCGACGTAGCTAGACTCTGTTTCAGAAAACAAAGCAAGCAAACAAACGAAAAAACGCCATGCAGAGAGCAGCACATGCTGCTAGCTAGGAAGGAGTGAGGGCTCACTAGTATAATCCTAGCCCTTTGGGAGGCCAAGGTGGAAGGATCACCTAAGCCCAGGAGTTTGACACCAGCCTAGGCGACATAGTGAGACCTTGTCTCTATTAAACAAAAAGAAATTAAGGAAGGGTAATGAAAGACATTTTCAGATCAACAAAAGCTGAAAAATATCAGCAAAAATACCAGCCTTCAAAAAAATACTAACAAATTATGATGTTATTACTTTTTGTTTGAGGTGGAGTTTCACTTTGTCGCCCAGGCTGGGGTGCAGTGGCATGATCTCAGCTCACTGCAACCTCTGCCTCCTCTCAAGTGATTCCCCTGTCTCAGCCTCCCACGTAGCTGGGATTACAGGGGCATGCCACAATATCCGCCCAATTTTTGTATTTGTAGTAGAGATGGGGCATCACAATATTGGTTAGACTGGTCTGGAACTCCTGACCTCAGGTGATCCACGTGCCTCAGCCTCCCAGAGTGCTGGGATTACAGGTGTGCACCACCATGGCCAGCCAACTAACAGAAATTCTTCAGACCGGAGGAAGATAATCTCCAGGGGAACCCCAGTTCCGCTGGGTAACCAGGAAAGACATTTTAAATTATTTAGGCCAGGCACCGTGGCTCATGCCTATAATCTCAGCAATTTGGGAGGATGAGGCAGGAGGATTCTTTGAGCCCAGTAGTTTAAGACCAGCCTGGGCAACATAGTGAGATCCCATTTCTAAACTAAAAAAAAAAGAAAAGAAAAAGCCAGGCATGGTGGCCTGTGCCTGTGGGGCAGGAGAATAGGGTAAGGAGGCAGGGAACATAAGACCGATTCACACTGACTTCCTAGAACTAAATCAAAAGGAAAAACCCCAACTTCCCACCTCTAAGTAACAAAGTGACCAGAGGCTACTTCCCCGCTTTCTGTGTGGCAGATGGGAACTTGAAAGTGCCTCTGATTGGCTGCTTTCTGCAACCGATCAAAATGATCACAGGCTCCTACTTCATGCGCATGTGTACACCAAGTGGCCAATGGAGACACTCTGAGGAGACACTCTGAGGGACCCCAGAAGATTCTGTAACCAGGTTCTTGACCCGCTGCTGGGGCACCCCCACCCCATGGAGTGGACTTTCATTTCCAGTAAATCTCTGCTTTCATTGCTTCCTTCTTTCCTTTTTTTTTGTTTGAGACGGAGTTTCGCTCTTGTTACCCAGGCTGGAGTGCAATGGCGCGATCTCGGCTCACCGCAACCTCCGCCTCCTGGGCTCAGGCAATTCTCCTGCCTCAGCCTCCTGAGTAGCTGGGATTACAGGCACGCGCCACCACGCCCAGCTAGTTTTTTGTATTTTTAGTAGAGACGGGGTTTCACCATGTTGACCAGGATGGTCTCGATCTCTCGACTTCGTGATCCACCCGCCTCGGCCTCCCAAAGTGCTGGGATTACAGGCTTGTGCCACTGCGCCCGGCCGCTTCCTTCTTTCCTTGCTTTGCTGTGGGTTTTGTCCAATTCTTCGTTCCAAGAACCCGGACAACTCGTAGTCGAGACCCTCCACAGGCAACACCTGTGGTCCCAGCTACTCAGGAGGCTGAGGCGGGAGGATCCCTTGAGCCTGGGAGGTCGAGGCTGCCGTGAACGGTGATGGCACCACTGCACTCTAGCCTGGGTGACAGAGCAAGATGCTGTCTCAGAAAATAAAAAATAAAATAAAAATATTTTTTTAAAAAGATTACTGAATGAATGCTTCAAGCAAAAAAAAAAAAAAAAAATTCTTGGCCGGGCGCAGTGGCTCAAGCCTGTAATCCCAGCACTTTGGGAGGCCGAGGCAGGTGGATCACAAGGTCGAGAGATCGAGACCAACCTGGTCAACATGGTGAAACCC